TGGTGCTCTGAGGATCATAGTGGCCCCTAGACTGAGGGGGTGGAAGCAGAGAAAGTAGGTCAGTTATTCTTCTTGAACCTACGGATTTTCAAACATTAACATGTGTCTACTGATGACAAAGAGAGAGAGAGAGAGAGAGAGAGAGAGAGAGAGAGAAGAGAGAAGAGAGAAGAGGGGAGAGTGGTAGGGAGGGAAAGGGAAAGGGGGAGGGGAGAGGAAGAGAGATTCTATCTCATCAAGTAAATTTATCACAAGGAATTGGCTGATGCAATTATGAGGTCTAAGCCTCAAGATCTGCAGTCAACAACTGAAGACCAGGTGGGCTGATGATACAACTCCAATTCCAGTCCTAAAATCAGAGAAGCAGGAGTGCAGTTCCAATCTGAAAGCCAGCAGCTTGAAACCTAGGAAGAGTCAATATTTCCATTTGAGGCCAAAGGTGGGCGAAAGCTGGTGCCCTGGCAGGAAGGCTGTCATCCAGAGGCAATCCTGTCTCAGTCCTTTCTGTTTTAGCTAGGCCTTCAGTTAGTGAAATGAGGCCCATCCACAATAAAGAAAGAATTCTGCTTTACTCAGTCCACAGCTTCAAATCTCATCCAAAAGTCTCAAAAACTGGGGCTGGAGAAATAGCACAGCAGGTAAATTGTTTGTCTTGCATGCATCTCACCCAGGTTCGACCCCCGTATGGTCCCCTGAGTCCCACCAGGAGTGATTCCTGAGCACAGCCAGGTATGGCCCCCAAACAATCAAAAATCTCAGACACTCCCAGAATAATGTGAAGCTAAAGTCAGGCAGCCTGTTGCCAAGTCAGCTGATTTATATAAACTTTTGTACGGGCTGGAGCGATAGCACAGCGGGTAGGGCGTTCGCCTTACAAGCGGCCAACATGGCTGACCCGAGTTCGATTCCTCCGCCCCTCTCGGAGAGCCCGGCAAGCTGCCGAGAGTATTGGATATGCCAGACACAGTAACAACAAAGTCTCCAATGGAGATGTTACTGGGCCCGCTCGAGCAAATCGACGATCAACGGGAGGGCCTTTACTTTACTTTACTTACTTACAAGAAGGGAAATCTTTCAGCAAGTCTCAGTTAGATTAAGGAGCCCCTGAGTGAGGAAAGAGGTGAGAACCTGTTCTTCTTTATACTACTGTGTACATGCCTCCTCAGTCCAGTGCCTTAACAGCTGTTAATGAGTAAAAGGCGACACAGGAGCAGAGTAATTCCTAGATGCTACGGAGGCAGAAGGAGACACACCTTTAGGGAGATAGGTATGAGACTCACTCGCATCTAAAGGCTCACCACAGACTGAGCCTGGGGAATGAAAGCCCCAGGGTCTTTCATTCCCACTTTTTGTCTCTAGTGGGTTTGGGAATGTTATTATTACACTTATTATTTCTCTAAGGAAATGGGACCTGAGTTTTGAAGAAGGAATTTAAGTACTTTGGGAACTCTGTGAATATCAAATGTTGGTTTTTGATTTTTGGTCAGAGCCAACTCAGCGGATTCTTCTAGCTCATTGCTCAGGGGTCAATCTTAGCAGTGCTCAAGGTACCATATGGTGCTAGGCATCAAACCTGGGTCTCCTGCATGCACAGAATGTGCTACAGTTTTCTAAGCTATCCCAGTGTTCCAAAAAACGTGTTTTTAGACTAGGAAAGAACCTTCTTATACTACTCATCATAGGAAAAGTATGTCTGGAAAATTTTCTTGTAATATCATTAACTGAGCCAGTACATTGCTTTATAATTTTTTTATTTACTCCATTTCCTATTGTCTGACATCACCGGTGCAGCTCCAGAAAGTCTGGGTAAAAATTAGCTAGAACATAAACACACAGGCCGATGGTCCAATTGCCTGCCTTCAGTTATGGCTGTGTACCTGATTGCAGCCAGGCGCTAACTTTGGCCGGCTCATATCTGTGGACACATGCACAGTGATTGAAACATCTGTAATTTATTTATTTTTTTCAAATTTCTTCAGGTTCAATCCTAGGGAAAAAATATATCTGAGACTGTACCTATTGATGGATCTTTCTGGCAAAGAAAAGTAGATTTTCCTTTAATAACTGCAGTAACTCCCCACATTCCCACTATGACTTTCTAACCATGCAGAAGTGTGGTCTACATCTTCTTTCCTTAAATGTGGGGGCTTTATGATTGCTTTACTAAATATAGTATATCTGATTACAGAGCCAGGAGTGTTCCTTTGCAGAGCTGAGTGTAGTTTGAACCCTGCTCCACAAATTAAAATGAAAATACTATAATCAGTAATCTCACCCAAACACCTCAAAGTTTAAACTGCTGAACAGACAGAATTGGGCTTCTCAGGGGAAGAAGGATAGTCAGTGGCAAAGGGCCTGCCAGGCAAGCATGAGGCCAGGAGTTAGATCTGTAGCCTTGCCCTGCATGCACACCTGACTCCTAGTACCTCAGCTGAAGTGTATGAGCACAGCAAACAAGCGTGTGGGTCTCCTATCATCAGACCATAGGGACGGGGGAATGCACTTTCAAAACATGCCTAGAATTGATTTGTTAGTGAATGTAATGTAATACATATATGTGGATTTTTCACTGACACACAACTGAAAGTATCTTTCAGAACATGACTTCAATAAGAAAGGAAATATGATTATTTACAAAAGATTGTTATGTCCAAATACTGTGAGAATCCAAAGATGGACATAACACAGATTTTTAATAGTCGTCAAGATGTTTCTGGTTTGCTTTTGTTGTGTTTGGACCTCAGTCAGGGGAGCTCAGAGAGCTGGCTTCGCTGGTGTCATTGCTTCAGGGGCCATGCAGTGCCAGTATGGATTCCTGCATACAAAGCACATATCCAGTCCAATGTCCGGCCCAATAGTAGTAGTAAAGGAGTGGCACAAGAAGTGGTCAGACTGAAACAGTGTAATCCTCCACATAAGCAAGTAGTAGCTGCAACTTCAGTCACTTTTTGAGAGCTACTGTGCATTCGGTTCAGCGAGGCTCACAGGGCCCTCTCCCACACCCTTCACAGGGCAAAAAACTATGAACACATGCCAGGTATGAATGAGACCAGGAGCTCCATGCCCTCCTGGGCTTCGTCTTGGCACACCCACCTCCGGCCCAGCACTGAGTGGCCAGGTCCCTCGGCCCATCGCAGGGCCCTTTTCCATAAAGCCAAGCAAACAATGTTTTAAAAATTGATTTTTATGAGTGTGAGCTTAGTTTTCAAATGTGTACATGCTTTAAAGGCGCAGCCAGTATACCACACCCCACCCACCACCAAAGAGTCCCTGACCAGGGTCTCCCCTTGGCCCATATTTTCTGACTTTTGGCGCTTTTCAATCTTTTTTTTTTACACCCGGCAATGCACAGGGGTTACTCCTGGCTCATGCACTCAGGAATTACTCCTGGAGGTGCTTAGGGGACCAGGGTCCGCAGCGTGCAAGACAAACGCCCTACCCGCTATGCTATCACTCCAGCCCACAACAAGCAAATTTTTAAGCTATGCTTTCTTCTTCTGTTCTGGTCTTTTCCCCCAGCTCCTTCCTTTCTTTGGCTTTTGGGCCACCCCCAGTGGTGCTTAGGGGTTTTACTCCTGGCGAGCTCACGTGGTTCCTTGGTGGCACCCGGGTCCACGATGTGCAAGGCAAACGCCCTTACACGCGTACCCTGCCTTGGGCCCCTTCCCCAGCTCCTTTCGGCTGCAGAACATGTTCCTTTTCCTCCATCCGACTTCTCCTTCGGGCCGGCGGAACTCGCTCCCTCCCCAGCTCTTCAGCCCTGGGTTAAGCCAGTGCACCGGGTGAAAATGAGACTCCAAGAAGACCCGGGAAACTGGGCACAGATGCCTCAATTTTACCCCCTGGACGCTGAGCTCCGGTCCTGCTGGCCAAGTCCTGTCTTTAACAACCCCAGGCAGCTCGGGCTCAGGGAAGCGATCGTTCTGGGGGAGTGGGAAAAGCTAGCCCAGGAGGACCAAAGAGGCAGCCCCAGGTCGGGTTCAGATTCCCCCCACGCGTCTGCCACGCGCAGCCGCCGCGAGCGGGGCCAGCAAGATGGCGCCGTCCCCGCGGCAGCCCCGGCGTGGCGGGGAGGGGGAGGGCGGGGCCTGGCGTCACGTGACCACCACCCCCGCGGCCACGGGCGCTGCCCCCCCGCCCCCCGCCCCCCGCTGCCCAGCGTGCGCGAGGAGCCGGGCTGCTGCGCCCACAGTGCCCCTGCCCCAGTCGGGGCGCCCCTCTCCCTTCCCCGTCCCCTCCCCCGCCCCCGAGAGCTGGAGCCCAGCCCGGGAAGGGGCCGCTGAGAAGTGCCGAGGCTCTAGGGCTACGGAACCGGGGGGACTCTGCAAGCCTGCGCTGAAGATCCGAGTCCACCCCTCGCGAGGGACTGGGTCCGAGGAGCCCGTGCGGGCATCCTGGTGGTGGTGTTGGGGGGCGATCAGGTGTGGAGGGCGAGGAGATTCAGGGCATTCCGTCGCGGACTTCGGAGTTCCCTCGGGGCTCCCGCCTCTCGACCTGGACATCTCACTGGCAGCCCCCGTGAAAACCAGCCGCAGCCCCCGTTGTCCTGTCCAGCCTAAGGAGGGGGGCGGCGTCCGTCGGCCCGAGGTTGGGGGCGGGGGCACGCGAGTCTGGCGGGCGTGACCCCTCGAGGGGCGGAGAGGCCGAGATGGCCGTGGGCAGCAGCGGGAGCGGAGAGCGCCCTCCGGCGCCAGGCAGCGCCTCCTCGCGGGTTTCCGTCTCTGTCGAGTGGGCTCGGCCGCGCTGACCACCCGCGGGAGGCGGGACGCACGACGCCCGGCGGGTCTCTGGCCGCGCCGCCTTCATGTGGCCGCGGACGGGGACCCAGGAGGGGTCGGGCATGGGGCGCAGCCGCCTCGCCCTCCTCCCTGCCCGCCTGGCCGGCGCCGGCGATGTGGAGACGTAGAGGGGGACCGGCCCGCCGCCCGGGCGTCTCCTGGACCCCCCGCGCCACCGCGCCCTGAGCCACCGGCGCCCCCGCGTCCGTCCGGCCGGCCGGAGTGCCAGGCTCGCCATGGGGCAGAACGGCAGCTGGAGCTCCCGAAACGCCAGCGCGGTGCTGCTCAACGCGTCGGGCACCGAGGCGGCGGGCGCCAACCGGAGCGCGCTCGGGGGGCTCGGGGAGGCGCAGCTGTACCGCCAGTTCACCACCACGGCGCAGGTCGTCATCTTCATCGGCTCGCTGCTCGGTAAGCCGCGCGCGGGGCTCGGGGTGGGGGGCGGGGGGCGCACCGCGGTCCCCAAATACGCACGGGCCAACTGCGGCGAAGTTAAAGCGGGGACCGTCGCCCGAGAGCGAGCTGGAAGCAAAAGAGTTGCGGGAAGGGTTTTCTGGTTGTCCACCCGCATCCCGGTCGGCCCTGCCCCAGGCTCCGCACCTGGGGAGGTGGTCGTGGTGGCGTTGGCGTTGGGCACCCCCTCCACCCCCATCCCCAGACACTCAGCCGTAGTTCTTGTTTATCCTGAGCGAGCAGCAGAGCCCATGTGGGAATTGGTTGATCATCACTGATGCTCCCACCCAATCTCTGCATCTAGGATCTTTTTTTTTTTTTGAACCTGATTTTTGTGCGGGTGTTTATGCCTTGCTTCTTCGGAACAGTGGTCTGCTGATAAACAGCCATGCGGAGTTAAACTCTCTTTTTTTGCCTTCAGCGCTCCCCCCCCCCCCAAAAAAATGTCCCAGGAAAAGGAAGCCCGTCCCCCCTTCTCTACTTAATTTTTTGTTCGAATTGCACAGTAAAGATAGGATGAAAACACGACAGATTTCTGTGTACTTGCCCAGGAGAGGAAAGATCAGCGGATTGGAATGAGTAGCGCTTATTAAAATGCCCATGAGTGTGAGAATTCCCTGTACTTTTGGTAGCTGCTCCTTAACGGGTTCGTTCGAACCTCCTTGAGGCTTGTTGAGCGCGTTTCTTGTTATAAATATGAGGCTTGTTGAGCGCGTTTCTTGTTATAAATATGATTTCTCTTCAAATGTAAAATTACTTTATGAATAAGACCGCTGGAAGATGAAATGTGACTGGCAAAAACAGACAAAGTTTCAAAGCAAAAATAGGTTAGTTTTACTGGATGCCTGTGAATTTCCACGAGGACCAAATAACTGACATGAACTACTGAAGAATCCAAAGAAGTATTTGAAATTCACGTTGGCGATTACTCTTAATTGTCCTTATCCTCATCTACTCCCCCCTTCGCCCCCCCCCCCCCACTTCTCTTATTCTGATACAAAAATTTACAGTTTTTGTCAGGAGAGTGTTTTCAGTAAAAGACAGAAATATGGCTATGCCTAGATGTATGAGGGTGTGTGTTTTGTTTTGTTTTGTGCGTTTTGGCCACACCCTTCGGTGCTGATGTGGGTGGGGCAGAGGTGTGTGCGCGCGCGTGTCTATTGAGGACCAGGTGGTGACTGAGACTGAACCCGGCATAGCCCCCTCTATCCCTCAACTCTCACTCCCTCTGCCTTCCAAGATGCGTTTTGTGGGTGATTTGTTAAATGTACATAAACAAAGCAACAACTTGTGTCCTAAATACTTTCAAACTTCATTTAACAATTTACTGAACAGCTACTAATTACCAGGCACAGAGCATTTACATTATTGGAAGTTAAATTTCAGTATTGTTACATTTGTTTCAGATGTAGATTATTGAGGAGGCAGTAGACATGGTTGTATTTTTATTTCTTCATTTGTGAATGACTTGACAGAGAAGATTAATTTTTTCCTTCATCTTTGCCTTCCTTGTTTAGGGGGGGACATACTCTGTTTTCTCCCCCACTAACTAGGACCCTCCTAAGGGAGAAATCTATATGCTCCCTTTTATTTTTATTTTATATTTTGCTTTTTGGGTCACACCCAGCGATGCACAAGGGTTACTCCTGGCTCTGCCCTCAGGAATTACTCCTGGTGTTGCGTGGAGGGACCATATGGGATGCTGGGAATTGAACCAGGGTTGTTCCGTGTGCAAGGCAAACGCCCTAATCACTGTGCTATTGCTCCAGCCCCTATTCCCTTTTATTTTTAGAAAAAGCATAAATGTGGCCAAATTTCTTGAAAATAAAAATGAGGAAACTTATGCAAAAGTGTTTTCCTTAAAATTTAGCAGGGTAACCCCTGTGCATCACCGGTGTGACCCAAAAAGAAAAAAAAAGTTAAAAAAATATTTATCAGTGTAATGAAGTTGTATTATGTACATTTTACTTATTTAAGGTAATATTGATTCATTATTCTACAACCAGTTTGACCCATCTAAACATTCCTCCTATGATGTTTGGGACTCAGAGATTTCAAAGTTATGTGTGGTTAAGTTGCAAGGGGAAAAAAATGAGGGAAGCATAGTTTTATGAATCCTTAAAATAGAGAACATTCATATTAGGAATAAAAGAAAAGGGTTTGCTAAAGAAGAATCTGTATTTATTAAAAGTAAGTAGTTGATGGAATAGTATCTAGTATGTGACACCAAGTTAATCCATTTGTCTTCTCTATGCCCAACATAGACAACTGAGTTTTGAAGTTTACTCTCTTTAGGGGTAGGGGACACACCCAACGATGCTCTTGGCTGTGTGTTCAGAGATCACTCCTGGAAAGGCTTAGGGGACCGTATGGGGTGCTGGGGATCAAACCTGGGGCCAAGTGCAAGGCGAGCACCCTACCTACCTGGAGACAAGTACTCACTCCAGCCCCTAAGTTTACTCTTTAAACAAATTTAAATGTACTCCACATTTTCTCAGGAACTTTTAATTGAGTTTTTCCAGAAACCCGCTATTATATGAAAATGATTCTTACCTACTGTTGATGTCTTGTAATTCTTTTTGAAAACTCTTTATACTAAAAAATCTCAACAATTTGGAATAACAATTATTTTAATCACAGGGAATATTATTTGCTCTGTTGAAAAATGAACTTAAGAATTATATATATAGTACAATTAAAATATTATATGAGGATTTTGTACAAACTAGTGTTTTTTCGGCCATTTCCCCCCATGATCTGGGGATAGCTTCTGATAGGCTATTGACTTTCAAAGAGAGTTCAGTAATTTAGATTCCATTTCACTAAATATGGGCTGGAGTGATAGCACAGCGGGTAGGGCGTTTGCCTTGCACGCAGCCAACATGGCCGACCCGAGTTCGATTCCTCCGCCCCTCTCGGAGTGCCCGGCAAGCTACCGAGAGTATCTCGCCCCCATGGCAGGGCCTGGCAAACTCCTCGTGGTGTATTCGATATGCCAAACACAGTAACAACAGTCTCACGATGGAGACGTTACTGGGCCCGCTCAAGAAAATCAATGAACAACGGGAGGACAGTGACAGTCACTAAATATACTGTATACACAGTATTTAGGAGTGGATGGTATGGGGGCCAGGGAGGTAGCTCAACAGAGCTTTTCTGTGTGATTTGTATGCAGGAGACCTGGGCTTGAGCCCTGGCCTACAAGATCCTCCCAAGCAATCCCAGAGCATTGGTCTTAGCACCCCAGGAGGTGGCCCCAAACACAACATTTTGTAAAGGTCAGTGCTTATGATCTAGTGTATTTTTTTCTTTTTCATTTTCTTGGAGGGTGGATTCTCCCAAGCAGTGCTCATGGAGCCCAGGAGTCTTCCTATTTATACTTGGTGAATTGGGCTGGATGGTTCAGTGATTGGGCTTTGCAGTGCTGTGTTCCTCCAGGGCCAACAGTCATGGTGGGGTTAGGGAAGTTCTGTGGTGTTGGGGTAGAACAGGACCTGCTTCTCTGACTACAGAGCCCCATGCTTTATTGGTCCCATAGTGTATTTTTTTTCTAATCTGATCACACATCCTTGCTTATTGCCACTGGCAGGTATTTAGGAGATTCTTAAAAATTTGCTCATTTACTTTGCTTACTTTTGGCTGGGCAAGGGGTTTGGGCCACATCAGGCACATTGGGGGCCACTCCTAGCTCTGTGCACATAGTTTGCTTCTGGTGGTGGTCTAGGGAGTTAGGCTGTACCTAAGATTCAGATTCTTTAACCCCAATGCTCTTTCTCTTACCATTTAGTTTTTAAAAAGGAAAACCGGAAAAAGGAAGCAAATCAACACTATGAGCAGCAATCAAGGAGAGCCTATCTTACCCTGAAACTTACTTGTTTTTGGATCAAAACATTTTATTGGAGGTCTTCAGGGGGCATATCAAAAGCTGATGTCCTGGGCTGGGCCAGTTCACAGCAGTACAGCTTCAGAAAGCCTCTTCTGAAATTTATTTAAAAAAATATTTAAAAATAGAGAATTCCTTCTCCGGCTTGTCAAAGCACCATGTGTTTAGTTCTCATTCTGAAGTGATTTTCCCTTTCCATACCAATGATCTATAGTGAACTGGCATGAAATTGATAGCCTGCAGTAAAGATTTGGCTTGTTTGTGATCTGCTTCCTTGAGATGGTTGTTGAAGTCTTCATTTCAAAAGAAAGATAGATCTCTTTTCTGACAATGGTAATTGGGAATGATCACTCTGGACAAGACTTGAGTGCTGAGAGTAGGTAAAGGGATATACATGATAACCTGTCAGTACCTGTACTGCAAACCATGATGCCTAAAGAGGGGAAGGAGAGGGGAGTGGTGGTGGGAGGGAAACTGGGGAACTGGTGGTGGGAAATGTACATTGGTGAAGGGATGGGTATTGGACCATCCTGTGACTTAAATGCAATCTTGAACATCTTTGTAACTGTGTATCTCACAGTGATTCAGTTTATTGGAACTGAATTGGAACAAAACAAAATATGAAAGGTAGGGAACTAATTTGTTCAATCTTTTTTTCCTGGATGATTTGGATAACCACCACTTTTGTTTATGCTTATTTACAATTTTCCAACAAAATCATACTGGATACTAGGTAGTGTTTGTGTACTCTTTTTGGTGGCTGGGGCTGCGGGGGATGGTGCTGGGGATTGAACTTCCGCGTCTTTTGCATAGGAAGCATGCACTCTATCATTGACTTATGTCTCGTCTTTTTATGCAAGTTAAAATTATCCAAATAATAGTTGTTTAATTCTAAGAGTCCCTTAGTTAAATGTTTTATAGAAACAATAATGGCTTGTGCCTATAATTCATAATTATACAGGATGATTTTTGGTGAGCCATAATTGTAGCTAATAATATTGTAACAGCACCATTCTTATTCTACTTGCTGTCTGTTTTTGTATGCCTGGAAGCCTCGTAACTATAAAGAATAAGT